TAGAACTCTTTTTAATCTTTTATTTAGAATTCGTACTACTGTTTTCTGAAGGTTTTAATAGAAAAAATGGTCTTATATTATTGAATTATAATTCTACTTTTCTTTTTTTAACTATATTCAAATTTAATATCAAAGCTATGATATTTATTACTTAATATTTTTTATTAAGAAAATTACTTTTCTTTTCTCATATTATTTATAAAATATATATATAATAAATTATACTGTATCTAGCTATTCTTCTCTTTTTTTAATATATTTGTCAATACTCTTATTGTAATTCTCTTAAATATTTTTCTAAATACTTATTAGTTAACTTTTTTTTGTTTATAAAATTTTTTATTATACTTATTTTTTTTTGTTAAAATTTTGTTCTACTTTCTTCTGTTTACAATTATATATCTTTATATAGTTTTAATTTTTTTTAAATATTTTTTATTTGTTTTCTATTATTTTTGTTTCTGTTAAAATTCTTAAATTTTTATACTTTTTTGATTTTGTTATTTTAAAAAAAATAAATTTTTTTGTTTAAACTATTAAATTAAACTTTTTATTTTTGTTTTTATTATATTTGCTATTTTTCTTTTTTTTTAAGATTAATTATTTAATCTTTATATAATTTTAATTTTTTTTATAAACTTTTTTATTAATTTATTTACTATTTTATAAGAAAATTGCTAATCTTAACAGACTGTAAAATTTATAGCCCTGCATCTAACCAATCAAAATTACAGAATTTATATGATTTGCAAATTTCTTTGTATAATAAAAACAAAGTTTTTTTATAAAAAAAATAAAAAATTACTTATAATACAAAAACTAGCTTAAGAAATCACTTTTAATATTATAAGTAAAAAATTTTTTTGCTAAATTTTACTGTAAAGTTCATTATTTATTATAACTTTAACCTAATTCTAACTTAAATAAAATTTTTTTTTAAAGTAAACCATAGTAATTTTTATTTATAAAATCTTAAGCTTAATTGGTTAATACAAATCTATGCATATTAGCTGATTTTGTTTGTATCCCAAAAATTATAGATGCATTTGATAAACAGTCAATTATTTGACAACAACCGTCAGTCGTTTGATGCCCTGATTAACCAATAAAATTATGTAATACTTATTTCTATTCAACTGTGGATTTTTCTGCTAATCATATAGAAGCAAAATATGCTGTACAAAAAATATCCGGAATTTGTAAAGCGCGTCTTACCGAAAAATATCAACAATAAAAAAAAAAACATCTATATATAAGATGACAGATCTATAATTCAAATTCTTTATTGTTAGATCTGAACTTGGACTAATGATGCTGCCCAAATTATCACAATGTATTACATGGTTTCAGAAATAATACAGTAAATACCTAATGTGCTATTAATTCATCATGTAGTTTGGGACGTCCCAACATCACTAATTTGGACACTCTTTTTGTAAAAACAAAGTAGTTCATAAGGATTTTATAAGATATCAAAAGGCATAAACATGTCTCTTACGTTATTGAGGTGCTGATTGGCAAAAGAGCAAAAATAAATCTAACTAAAGCATTAATTCTATAGATTATATTAGCATTGTAAATAATATGAAGTGAAATGATATTATTCTATCAGAAAATTAGCAAGTAGTATTGTGTTAGATAACTGTTAGATCAGAAAGCAAGCTGCCAGAATCAACTGGCTGTTAGATAAGATAAATTTCAAGCCAGAGCTTAGGGTGAGAAGAAGTTTGGTCGAAAAAAAGACATGTGATTACTGGTAAATGGACGATGTCGAAGAGTCCCTTTTATATATATTAGAGGTAGATAGCTTTTCTTAATGATGACGTTCTTTATGTTAATGTGTATGAAAATTTATGCGAGTATATTTGTGGCAGTTGATGGGACTTTGAATTCACAAGGAACAATTGGTAATTAATTTTATTTATCTTTTTGTAATATCACTATTTTACTAAAACCTTAAACTTTCTATACTCTTATGTCCCAAAATAGCTGAACTGATGAATAGACTAGAATTCAGAGATTCTAATTCATTATTCATGGATATTACTCCAAAAGGTTCTATTGTGAAAACTCTACAAAAATCTAAAATTGATTGCTTAGTTAGAGAGAAGGTTTATAATTTTCTTAATGCGTCACATAGATATCAGAACTATATTAAACTATTTGTAATTATTCAGGATTTGTATATGTATTATTTTATTACACGATATCCCAGTAGAACACTTGTGTTTGTAAATAGTATTGATGCGATTCGTCGATTGATTCCGATAATGAGATTACTTAATATAGAAGTTTTTGGCCTTCACACTTAGATGCAGTAAAGACAAAGATTAAAAAATTTGAATCGGTAAGATAAATATGTTATTTATAATTTAAATAATTCAAGTCACCAATATTTATTCACTAATAATTTACTAGATTCAAGCAGAATCTGAATGCAGTGATGGTTGCTAGTGACATGGCAGCTCAAAGGCTGAATATTCTACTCATTAAGTATGTGATACATTATCAATTACCACATTCTGGAGATGTATGCGTTCTTATCAGTTTATTCAGGGTGACTTATTATTTGTCTAATACCTTTACTATACTTGTTGTAGATATATA